GCACTGACACTGATGGATGGCTGTTATTTTTAGACCCAGTGTTGCAACAATAAGTCACCAGTGTTAGAAGTGCCGTGGCTAACATGGTGATGGTTACAGCTTTGATTGAGATTACTCCTGACACAGGTCAGGCAGAGCAGTAGACTGGGTCATACTGTCCTGGCAGCTGGCCTCTTTCTTGCCCTTGTGTCTTAGAGAAATATGAACCTGTTCAGCCCATACAGCATTGTGGTGGTAATCATTTCTAATGGAGTGTGGTTATAAGATGCTGCAGAAATAATATATATCATTTTATCCTGGTAATATATCTTATTTCTATAGAGCAAACAATGTACTACTTAACAAGAATGGCCACATTCATCTTGATCTGCTTGGGTGTTAAACTTTTTATGGTTGCTGTACTGATTTTTTAAACAAAAACCAGTAGAATGCTTAAACATGTTGAACACAAACAAACAAAGGATTTATATAGATAAGGATTGAATGGCATACTTATTTTTTTGTTTTTCAGAATGAGTGCCAAATCCTTCAAACAACAAATGCTTTTGTTATGTTTGTGTTGTCTGGATTTTTAAAGATAGCTAAATAATAAATGACACCTGTAGTTACGGGGGAAAGTGCAAAGAAAATAAATAAATAAAACTATTAAAATGCTATCTTCAAATTTTAACTTACAAGTATTACAATTTTTTTTTTCTTATTCAGACTAAAAAAGAGGCAACCAGACAGATGGTAATTGTAGTCTAATCCTGTGGCAGAGAAGGATGGCTGCATACTCAATATCCATTCTGTTTATCTTCCTTAGTAACAGCCTAACAACTCTATTTCAGGTTGCAATGTGTCAGCTAGGAAACAACAACAACAACAACAAACTTCTGCAGCTTTCCTTGCCACTGGGAGTGAATGAAATGTAAATGAAAAATAGTACTTCTGAGAACACTTTTTGAAAAAGGCCCTAATTTAGCTAGCAAGTTGCTTATTTCCCTTAATGGAAATGGTTGTATGTTAACAATCTGGATGTTTGTTCAGTAATTCCTTGCCCCTGAATTTACAAACTTATTTGCAATATTTATGGGGGGGAAAAAAGCTCATCGTAAATATTCTATTTACATAACATGATTAAATTTCACTGAGACCAACGTTGTAAAATAATTCACAAAATCTCTTCTGCATATGACAATTAATTATGGATTAAATGGAAATTTTTTCTTTGAACCAAAATATTTGCTTTCTTTGAGGTAGGGAATGAAAATAGGGCCAAAGATCACATATTGAGAGGGACAGCTGGACAAAGCAAACTAAAATGTTTGGTTCCAAATCAATTATCCTGCTTCTTGCAGATTCTATTTGCTTTGTCTATCTTAATTAATAAGCAATAAATAGCAGGATTTTATACATGATACCATTTCTGCAATTGGATGTGTGTATTTGGGATAATTATCGCCTAATCTTTGAAATATTTTTTGCATATCTGGTGACAGAAATTTTGTATTAGAAAATATGTAGATTCCAAATTTTTGAGCATGCCCCACAAAGTTACACGGACAGCAGTTTTTTAATATCCCTAAATCATCCCACAAAATATAGCACAAAAATGAACAAAACAACAAAAATTATCACAGCCAATTAAGTCATAAAACCAAGTGACAAAGTAACTCCACGAGTCCCAAAATACATGGAGGTGGGGCCAAATCACTGACAGCAACAATATCTGAAAGTATTGTAAAAGAAATCTGATGGCTTAACCATAAGCTTAATGGAAAACAGCTAAAAGCTTACTAAGACTATGGTAAAACACTTCCAAAGGACAGAAGAGTAGCTTAAACAATTGAGAATGCATATAGCATCTTTGAATAAGAAAATTCGATACCATAAAGGTATCAATTTTTCCCAAGTATATTTAATCCAAAACTAATTACAATACCATTAAGTTTTTGCTTTTATTTATTTGTCTGATTGTTTTGCCTGAGTTAGATTAAGCTCATTATAGACCATCAGTTTGAAGTTTAAGCAAGCAAGAATTATCACAAAAAGCACAAAAAGGAACAGCAATGACTGGGAAAATTGTTATTGGATATCTAAATAAATGATAAATTATTGGTTCATAAATAAACAACAGGACCAACAGTACAAATAAAATAATACACAAACCAAGTCATATGTGGAAATGTAATATGCAATGAAAGTAGCCTCTTTAATTTGTAGGAGAAAATAACTTATTAAAATTCTTAATAAAATGAACTCAATACAAATAAGCTTAAAAGAAAAAATATTTAATTAGACCCTTTTCTCACAGTCTACACAAAAGTTATTTCAAATGGGTCAAAAATTTACATCTAAGAATCTAAAATATTCAAGTCATAAAACATGGATGAAATTAAAACTTGGGAATGAGGTAAATTTTTTCTACTTGATTTAAAATCCAGACCCAACAACAGAAAGATGGATAAATTCAACTCTAACCTAAAAAAACTTTCTGATAGCTAACGGCACCACCATAAGCAAATTTTATTTGCAATTCACAGTAAAGACTAACCATAAATGTTCTTAATATATAAAAATCTTCTAAAAATAGAAAATGAAAAGCCTAAAACATGATGGGAAAATGGGTAAATAATGTGAAGAGGGTCCACAGGAAAAAAATGCAAATTTTCTTTACCATATAAAAGGAAATTCAGCTTCACTTACAGAAATGCAAATTTAAACTATACTGAGGAAAGCATTTTCCATTTTACAGATAGGCAAATCCAAACATTTGACTACATATTTAGCTATTGAGTCTGTGAGAAAACAAGCTGTTTTACAAATTGCTAGGGTGCAAAATACTTGAATCAGGCGGAAAGTTTGACCATACCTAGTAAATCTACTTATACATGTATTTTTTTAATTCGGCAATCACATTGCTAAGAATCTATTCCAAAGATATACTAAAAACAATCCTAAAACAAAAATGTATAATTTGTAAGTGCAAATAAATAGAAAGAAAAACCAATAGGGAATTAAATGTACCACAAAACATCTATATAATGTCATATTATGCAGCTCAAGGAAAAAAAGAGGAATATCTTTAACTGGTTCTGTGGAATAATTTTAGGTTATATTCAGGCAAACTGGGAAGAAAAGTGTTCAAATTAGGTTTTCATTTATTTAAGAAAAACAGGAGTAAAACATAAAAATATACAGTTTGCTTCCACTTTCATTTTGTCTCTGAAATGCAATCATTGTCTTTTTAAAAAGTTTCTTCTTGTTTAAAATTACGTAAATTATTTATGGAGGTTTAAAGTCACATCTGCAAAACAAGATCTATTTGGAGTTGTGTTTTCATTTTTTCCCTAGCCAGCATTTTTTCCTCTCTTCCGAAGTTTGATGATAATTTCATTATTTAATGTTTCTGTGGCTCACCCGTCACTGAGTTGAAATACAAGCGACACATATACATATGTGTGTGTATGTATATGTGTGCATGTGTGTTGTATAAGTGTTTGTACATATATTATGCTTGATTGATAATTTCTTTGATAAAGAAATTGATAAATTCTTTGATAAAGAAAAGAATTTATAAAAATTACTTTAAAACACAGCATTTTACTGTATATGCTAATAGAAAATACCCTAAATAAAAGACAAATGCAAAATTGAAAATCAGTTAATTAATATGACCCATCCCTTGGCAAATTCCTCTCCATCTAGGAGACAATTAAACAAAAAATCAAATTACCTGTTCCCAAAGTGTAATAGTAAGTGTGGCATAGTAGAACAATTACAGACATTTCCAGTTCCAAAGAAGAAGGGGAAAGGAAGTACTGTAAGGAATTAACAGCTTCATTAGTTAGGTTTGTCCAGAGAAACTGAATGAACAGCCTTTGTGAGTGTGGCTGTGTGTGTGTGGGTGGGGGGGTGGATTATTTTTATAAGATCCAAATAGAGAAAATGTAAATATATATACAATTCCTACAAAATTAGAAAAATGGTGAAAGAAGAAATAATGTTTTTAAGAGTTAGAAAACAGACAGTAGTGAACTTTGATTTCTGAGAGATAGGAAATAAATTAACCAAGGGCTGTAGTCATCTAGTTTTCTATATCTAGTCATCACAGTTTCCAGACTAAAGTGCAAAAAGAGGATGCCCAAGCAGAAGATGACAGTCTCATGGAGTCAAGGAGATAGAGATCAGACCTGAGGGAGACAGAAACAGTAGGAATACATGTAGCATAGAACCAGAATAGAGGGAGCTTTTGAAAAAGCTTCAGAAATTTTTACGCACTTTTCCAAATAATATTCAATATTGGATTGAATATTATTCTGCAAATGTGTGGGATGAAAATAAATGAAACATGAAGATCTATAAACTGAGCTTTTTTAAAAATTTTTAGATAGAGTCTAGCTTTGTCACCAAGGCTGGAGGGCAGTGGCTTTATCTCAGCTCACTGCAACCACCACCTTCTGGGTTCAAGCAATTCTCCTGTCTCACCCTTCCAACTAGCTGGGACTGTAGGTGCATGCCAATATGTCCAGCTAATTTTTGTATTTTTAGTAGAAATGAGATTTCACCATATTGGTCAGGCTGGTCTCAAACTCCTGACCTCAGATGATCCACCTGCCTAGGCCTCCCAAAGTGCTAGGATTACGACCGTGAACCACCATGCATGGCCAAACTGACCTTTTAGAAAATAATATCAGATAACAGATGTGAGAGAACTTCGAAATGTGGAGGAAATGAAGTGATATATTTTCTTCACCCATAGCCAGTTGTATGGCTGAGGCCACTATAAACAAAAGACAGATTAACAAGAGAAACACATACAGATTAATATAAATTTTAAGTGACATGGGAGACTTCAAAGATAAATACCCAAATAAACAGGGGAAAGTATGTATTTTTATGCTTAGGTTTGATGAAGAATATGTATGTAGAAGTATGATTTGAAAAAACAGGTATAATCTAGTGATAATAAACTGGGGGGGAGGGTAGGTGGGGGAACATAGCAAGCCCGTATGTTCAGATTCTTCTCTGTCTCTGTGTCTTTCTGTCCTTTCCTCTAGGTATATGGAGCATCACTCTGAAAGAATGGTCTTATGACCTACATTAGAGGAAAGGCAGATAATTATTTTATGGCATACTTCAGGGGAGGGAGAACAGTGGGAGAAGGTCAGAGAGACCTTTCTGTTTCTGCTGTTTTTGCAAATGCCAAGGTTCCATATTTTGTGGTGGCATTTCCTGACCCCCATCACAAACTCATTTTATGAGGCCAGCATTACCCTGATACTGAAATCATAAAAACACAAAGAGAAAATTATTATAAAGTCCAGTATCTTTCATAAACTTAAATTTATAAATCTTTAAAAATGTTAGCAAATTAAATCATTAATATTAAAATAATAGTGAAACTGTCTTTGCAAAATTATAACTCAGGAAATTATGACAGTGAAAGAGATCAGATCTAACCGACTCTTTCTTCTAATCCTTAATCTGTCCTTGTTCATTCCTGGGCATAGGCTGAATTAACTTTGGGAAGGAATTCAGTTCATGGGTTGACTCTGAAACAAAATTGATAACAGCCCTTTCCCTGAAAAGATCCTCTTCTTGCCTGGTGTCCAGACTGACTTTGCAGGACTAACAAATTAGCTACAAGATTAGAAATTACAATTTAGGAGTCATGTAGCCTCTGGCTCCAAGAGTCTGAAACTTCCCAAATTGCTCCTGGTGATAACATCACTATTGTAAGACCTAAGATGATTGCTTGAGATATTTTGTAGACCCTACACTTGATGGATCAGCTGACACCACCCAGACCAGTAATCTAGCCCAGTCAGTTCTGCCATCACACCCAGCAACAGAAGACATTAAAAAAAAAAAAAAAAAAAAAAAAAAAAAAAAAACTTCAACTTCCCCCTATGATTCCATCTTCAGCATGCCCAATCAATGCTCCCCACTTCCCAAGCCCCTACCCACCAAATTATCTTTAAAAACTCTGATCCCCGAATGCTAACAGAGACCGACCTGAGTAATAATAAAACTCCGATCTCCCACATAGGTGGTTGTATGCGAATTATTCTTTCTCCATTGCAATTCCCTCTCATGATAAATAGATTCTGTCTAGGTGGTAGGCAAGGTGAACCCATCAGGCAGTAACAATAGTACATTACAAATAAAGCAAGGCTGGTTTAACCTTCAAAAATTAATCAATATAAGCTGTGGTAGTAACAAAATAAAGGAGAATAACCCTATAATTATTTTTTTAGCTACAAAATAATTATTTGATAAAAATCCCACATCCAGTAATGATATGAACTCTTTCATTTGCAACTTGGAAATATAAAGAAATGTCTTTAACCTTATAAAGGGGATCTAAAAAAAAAATCATATGGCAATATTATGTTTGGTATGAAAGACTAAATATTTATTCTCTATAGTTGGTGAAAAGAGAAAGGATATTTATCCTTATCATTCCTATTTAACATTAGATTAGTGATTCTAAACAGTGAAATAAGTCAAGAAAAGTATATTTAAAGCATTTTGTTATACATGAAGTTAAACTTACTATTCATAGACCACCTGACAATTTTAATGGAAAGCCTTAAGAAACCTACAAAAATAATGACTAGAATTTGTAAATAAAAAATTAAATTCTAGTACCCTCAACCATCTGAATGGACTAAGTCCTACCCAACTGGTAAGGGTGGAGGCCCTAAGACAAAATTTCAACCATATATTCTTTCAAAGGGACTATAGCAAGAGGGTGCTTTTGGTGTTGCACAGAGTGTCATGAGGGCAAAGGGGAGATTTTTTTTGTCCATGACTGGCAGGTTTCTAGAGCCAGCTTGGTGAGTTGGACTTTAAGGACAGAGTTGACTTTTTCAACTGAGACCAGTAGGGTGTGTAGAGAACCCGTTTTATTCCTAAGGATGTAGAGACACCTTGGGTAATTTGGCTGATAAAACGCAGGCCTGTTACCAAACTGGATGGATGTTGGGAGTTCAAACAGGGAATGATATGCATGATGAGAGTTTGCATGTGGTGATATTTGCATCTTCTGAAGTTGTTGGGAATGTTTCTACCCACCCAGAGAAAGTGCAGACAAAGACTAGAAAATAGTGGAGCCATTTATCGGGTGACATGTGATTGAAGTCTATTTGCCAATCCTGCCCAGGTATCTGGCCTCGGGCTTGGTGGATAGGAAAAGGCGGGGGCCAGAGGGAGCCCTGGGGTGACACTGAGTGGCAGATAGAGAAGGACTGGGTAATCTCTTGAACATGGCTGGAAAGGTGAGGACAAGTGAAAATAGGGTGGATAAGTTGCAAGAGAGGTTTGTAAACAACATGGAGTTTTGGAGGCTTTGGAGGATAGGGATTGTTTGAGAGCAAGGAAGAATGAAGCACCCTTCCTTGACATACCATGTTCCCTGCTTTTGAAGGTTTTGGGCTTGTAAGTCCTCCTTTTCTTCTAAGGAGTAAAGAGGAGAGAATGAGGACAGGGACAAACTGGCCTTGGACAGGGTGTATGGCTACTTGTTTGGCTACCTAATCTGCTAGAGCATTTCCGGCAGATATAGAATTGTCTGGGGTTTGGTGGTCCTGCAATGAATGATGGCAACTTTCTGTGGGAGCCTGGCAGCTTGAAGCAATTTGGTAGTGAGAGAGCCATTTATGACAGGAGTGTTTTTTGCAGTCAGGAAACCCCTTTTTCCCATATGGACAAGTGTGAGGGCAGTATGTGGAACCCATAATGAGAATCTGAATATATGTTAATTGGTTGTCTGGCTGCTAAAGTGAGAGCTCAAGAGAGAGTAATGAGCTCAGCTTTTTGGGAGGTGGTGCCCAGGGGGAGAAAATTGGCTTCAGTAGTGTAGGGGGAGCGACACTATGGCATAGCCAGCATGTTGGCATCCTTGATTCAATGTAGGAAGGAGCTGCTATCTACAAACCAAGTAAAAGAGGCATCTGGAAGGGGTTGGTCTGTTAGGTTTGGAAAGGTTATAAGAAAGGTTTGAACAGTGTCTCCACAGAAGTGTGCAGGGTCTTGGGAGGTATAGCTTCAGGTAAGACTGTGGCTGGGTTTAGACAGAAGCTGATTACCATGGTGATTTGGGGAATTTCTATGAATAAAGCATATAGTTAGAGGAGCCATGGGGCAGAGATGAGACAGACTTAATACACTGTGGTGAGCTAGCGTGTATTTGATGTTATGGGTTGAATAAACTGTTAGCTTGACATGAAGAGATAGTTTTAGGCTTTCAAAGGTGAGGACAGCAGCTGCCATCAATGCTTGGAGGTAGGTAGGCCATCCAAGAACTGTGGCTTCAAGCTGTTTAGAGAGGAGGGCAACAACCTGGAGAGTGGATCCTTTAGACTGGGTTAGAACATCTAGTGCAACTCCATGCCATTCATCAGCATAGAGGGAGAAAGGTTTGGTGAGGTCTAGGACAGTGAGGATGGGTGCTGAGGTGAGAGCCTTTTGGAGTAGACAGAAAGGTTGGTTAATAGCCTGTGTAGTGTTTAAAGGCTCATGGAGAAGGACTTTAGCAGCTTGGTATAATGGTTTGGCAAATAGAGCAAAGGATAGAACCCAGAACCTAAAGTATCCCACTAGTTCCTAGGAAAGAGACAATTTCTTACTTAGTTTGCAGAGGTGGGAGGGACTGGAGGAAGGATATGCAGTGAGTTGTGAGCCTTTGAGTTTGCAAGGTAAGGGCTAGGCTTAGGTAGGTGAATGAGAAGGTGCATATTTGTGCTTTTTTAGGGAAGACCAAATACCCTCGTTCTGCTAAGAAGTTTAAAAGAGAGATAGTATGGGCATTGCAGTCTTTTTAAGAGGGGCTACACAGGAGCAGATCATCAACATATTGAAGGAGAGTGGATGGTTTTAGGGATAAGGTACAGAGATCATGAGCTAGGTCCTGTCCAAAAAGGTAGGGGCCATCTCTGAAACCTTGAGGTAGTGCACACCAGGTGAGCTGGTGTGAAAGGTGGGTGTCGAGGTCTTCCCACATAAAGGCAAAGAGGTTTTGAAAATCAGGATGAAAAGGACGAAAAAAGCATCCTTTAGGTCAAGGACAAGAAAATGGGTAGTATTGGAGTTAATTGCAGAAATTAAAGTGTATGGGTTAAGAACTGCTGTACATACTGGGAGTACAGCTTGGTTAAGGAGCCTGAGGTCCGGGACTGTTTGTTGGGCGGAGTAGGTGACTGGCAAGGAGGTGAGAAATGATAGGATTTAGGCCTATGAGAGCCACTTGGGTGACTGGATGCTGCTTCTGTGACAGGAACTGGGTGGAGATTTTAAGGGTAATGCAGATGGGGTGTGGTGTTTTGCAACTAAGAGTGTGGAAGTATCCCAAACAGTGGGGTTAACTATGAATGGGGGATAAAGAAAGGTTGCATGTTTTAGGGTGGGAGGTTGGAGGAGTAGAAGAAAGTTAGAAGTACTGGAGGTGTCTGGGTGGATGCATTGGGTACTATAGGGAATGTAGAAGTGTAGAGTAGTGTGGAGTTTGAAAGAATGTCTTTGCTTAGGAGCAGAGTTGGGCTTGAGGGCAGGAATAAGAAAGAGTGAGTCAAGTAAAAGTTATGCAGGGAGCAAAAGAATGGAGGGGTAGCTCGAGGTTTGGAGACTTGTCCATCACTTCCCACAACAGAGACTTGGGAGGACTGGATCCTGAAAAATTAAGTAAAGCACAGTAGGTTTCCCTAGCATCAATTAAAAAACATACCAGCTTACCTGCTATCATCAGGGTTATCTTTGGCCTGGCTGAAGAGTTGGTAGTTGCTGGGGCAGCGTAAAGGGTTGTCTTTTGGGGTGGAAGACTGGGAATTTCCCATAACTGAAGGTAGGCTCAGGAGAATAGGATAAAGGAGACCATACTGGATGGCCAGAGGGTGCCTATAAAAGGAGCAATCATCACTGCTGCCTATTTCGTTCGGAGAATGGGATCAAATGACTTAGAGGCATCCCCTAAGACCAGATGGTTAGTGAGTGCCTAGCACATGTCTAAGCCTTCTTGGACCAATGTTGGATTTTTGGACCAGAGAAAC